TACATCTGTTCTTTGAATAGACTGATCGTAATAAAGCTGTTCTGCAGATTCTAAGCTCGAAAATTTTTAGTAAATGGCCACTTTATTTTCAGACAGTTCATATTTTTCAGCTGAAAATGGCAGTCTGAAGTGTGCATGTTACTTTTAGGTTATACTAACCTTAAATTTCTCGTGATACATCTGAAATGCAAGTACCAGCCTGTTGGGCTGCAGTCTCTTATTGGGAAGCAAACTTCATTTGCAGTAGGACACCTGCAGCTGCAGCTCCACTGCCTACCAAATACCTTACGACTTTATGCTTCTCTGTGCCATGCAGATGCATGCAGGAGGGCTATGCTGTAAGGGATATTCAGGAATGGTTGTTAAAAATGCCAGTTCTTCAGCTGTTTAAAAATCACACATTGTACCACATAAGTATGGTGATTGGGTGTTGTGAAGTTCAGTTGCAATGCTGAGCCCAAAAATAGAGCCTCAAGAACTGAAGAAGCTTCAGCAAATGCAACATGTTCAAGTCTTTTCTGAGCAATTTGTCGCAGTACTCAGAATATTCCATGTACTAGGTAGTCATCCTTATTTACTTAATGTAATACACAGGGCTAGAGTCGTGAACAAAAGCTTGAAATGCCTGTGTGGGAACACCAGAACAGAGACCAGGGAGAGAGCTGTGCCTCTGTCTGGCTGACTTCAGTGGATCTCCCCAAATTGTTTAGTAGCAATAAACCTCATTACCCTTCAAAAGAAACTGAGTCCAACTTCTTCAGTGGTTTGGGCTTTTAAACTGTCTTCCCATTCCTCTACTTCCCTCACTCTCTGAAAAGCAAAAAACCCCTCACAACTGCAGTTATGGACATGGGAAAAGGAGAATATTCATTCGTGAGGTCAGTGGAGCCCTGCTGCCAATTCTGAGTGTGAGGGACTTGGGCTTTAGCGTCATACTGTAACACAGCACAAAGCTAGTGCCAGAGCCACTGAGCATCACTTTATGGAAACAGTGATGCAGCCCTGGCCTGTATCCACCTCATTCCAGTGGCTGGCATTTACTCAACTGCTTCAAGGAGCTCCAGTCACACTTTTTGGAAATTATTTCAGCATCAGTGGCAAGGAGTAGCAACTGTCATACAGCTATACTGTGTATACTGTAATCTCTCCTAATGAGGTGGCTTTCTCAACTTAATTGGTATTGCTTTTTGGTCACTATGGTGGGTATCTTTGGAGAAGATGTAATGAGAGAGAAAACTAGGTCACTCATTGCTAATCTGCTTCTACTGATCTCGCACTCTCTGCCTGGCTGACTGGAGATGTTACCATAGCTCAGGATCTAACTCCAGGGCTGCTTCTCTGCCACCATGTCCTGCCTTTAGCTCTGGTCCTGCCATTCCAGCAGATGCCATGGGGGGAGGATGAAAGACTTCTCTTTTTGTAAAATTCTATCAGGTGTAGCATATAAACTGAAGGAAATTAATAGATGTATATCTGGAATGGGATTTCCGTTACACCACAGCCAGCTAATTACAGTTATTTGCATTAAACAGGCTTGTTACTTATCTGTTGTTTTGATTTGCATTTCCTCTTTAAAGGAGAGATATGGTACTTGAAAGACAGTGCTGATGAAAAGGGTGAAGAACACCTGCAGTGTGTGTGAACAGCAGCATTTGTATGTTTCAACACAATACTTGAAGTATTTTTAAGCTATCAGGTCCTGTGCTGTTGTTCAGTTTTCATTCCTTCACTGTCATGATCTTACAGTTCCTGTAACCTTGCTGTTGTTTTGCTTTTCCTGCACCTCCTTACAAATAAAGTGGCCTAAATGAATTAAGCTTTAAATGGCAAGGTAGCCTTTATAATTCATGCATCATTGATACATATTTCCTGGAGAAGGCCTGAAAAGGAAAAACAACTCTTAAACTAGGAAATGTTGCTTGATATTTTATCCTTTGTAGGTTTGTCTTGTGTTTCTCTGAGTCCTTGAAAAGCTGTCTCCTCAAGACAGGTGTTTTTAACATTAACATCAGTGTGCATAATGTAGCAATGCTGCATTAAGACACTGGTAAAGATTCAAAAGGGAGTGACTACAAAATAGCCTTAGATGCTACCTAACACCCTAAAAGAACTGGTAATTGCTTCTATCTCTCTTAAGTCAGCCTAGTCACACACTGTGGCTTTGGAGTTATTCAGCCAGTTTTGAGATATTATCAAGGGAGAAAACAAAACGGGAATTTCCTTTAGGAGAGAGATGCCAGCCTCTGTAATGTAATATTATTTATAATATTCTAATGTAAAAAGAAAAGGTAATGAAGGCGCTAGGCACTCATAAGTAGTAACAGTAAATGTTACTGACTTAAACCTACTTGCTCAGTCCTGCAGTCTGGGATGCTGCCAGCACAGCTACGTTACACTCATCCCAAACCCAGGCAGAAGCTGGAGCACACCCATGGTGATACCTTATTTTAGCGGAAACTCCCATGCCTTGGGAATTACAGGATTTGCCCTACTCAGTTGCCTCTCAAGCCAATTTCTGCAGCTGAACATTGCTTATGGCACAAACAAGCCTGTACCCTGCATGTTCCCCTGGCTTGTGTTGTCTTACTGGGAGATGTGTTGTTCAGCACAGAGCATGGCCCAGATGCTTTTATCTGTGTCATACCATTCCATCTGTGCAGTTAACCATGGCCCTTGGCAGAGTTAAAAATGGGACCTACCTCTTGGGTCAGGGTAGCAGACATCCATTCACTTCACTGTGTGCTTCTGAGAGAGGGGCACCGTCTGAACAGCCTGCTCTGTTCCCTAAGCACCTATAAAGCTAAGGTTAGGAAAGCAAATCAACATCTTTTCTACCAGAAGATTGTATTTGGCTGAATTTAAGTGAAGTATATCTGAACTTAACGATGAAGGACCATGATAGTTCTGTGGATAATACATTGATAATACATAAGTGAATGTAACACACCTTTGCTCACAGACAATTAGCTCAATCTACTCCTACGCTGGCACCAAAAGCTCTATCTTCTTTTAACAGTTCACCTGGGCAAAGGTGTGGCACTATTAGTAGAGACTGGGGGATACCAGCGTTCTCTCTCACCGATAATGAGGAGTGTAAGCAGCGAAAGTTTGGGTTTAAAAAAATCCTCCCGATGTCGTAATCTCGTGTGGCAAGAGGCACGTATATCATCTTGCTATCTCCTCTTAATAATCACCCCTCACAAAACCGAGAACGGCCCTACCTGGGCCTGAGGTGGCCCCTCCGTGACCGCCCCCTCGCAAAGCACCCGCAGCCCCCGGCCCTCCCT